CCGTTTTTCCTCTGAGTTGTTCCCTTGTGGTTACCGCTCCTTACACCTATAGTACACGCAGTAAAGACTTTAGTAATAGAAAATATTTTATCATAATAAGTGTGTAAATGCTTCAATTACAGCCAAAATTCAGTTCTGTGAGGTCACAGTCTCCTTTGATCTTTGACCACCAAATTCTAATCAGTTCATCCTTGAGTCCAGGTGAGTGTTTGTGACACATGTGTTTAAATTTCCACCAAGTGTTCTTGATATATCACGTTAAAAAGAATGGGACAGAGGTGAGGTCACAGTGACCTTGAACTTTGACCACCAGATGCAAGAAAGAAGGATGGCAGGAAAGAAAGGAAACTCAGTGGCTTGTAATAATACTTTATTACCTTAATATAATAATTTGATAATCATCATATTTTACCTCCAAATGACATTCACAGTTAAGTTACAGACTCTATAGAGACCAGCTGTGTGCAGTGCAGGTTAAACAGATCACAAGTGTCCAATGAGAAACCTTCAACAGATCCTGCTGCTGTGATCAGCTGACGCGACCCGCTGCCCTGAACTGCCTCAGTCAGGTACTGACCATCACACAGGACATGACATCCAATCAAACACAAGTATCCTCACTTGGAAAAGGCACTTCCTTTATTTTCTAAAAACTTGTACAGTCAGGGGAGGACATCCTTCATTTTTGCTTCACCACGTGAGCACCACGTCCAATACTTCTCCAGGCCGACCTCGACACAGAGGTCACCAGAGACACTGAGGGGTTTGACAACATCACAAACATGGAGCGGCTGTTCCCTGTTCAGTCAGACATCAGCAGTGTAGTTCAGAAGAAGATTTCAGATCCATACCTGTCAGTAGACATTTTACTTGTCATTGAAGGCTGTAGTGGAGGGAGGAGGGATGTGAACTGAACTTATCCGATTGTTTATTTATTTTTTTATTTTACATGTATTCCGTCATAATAACTTTATGGTCATTCATTGAAGGAACAGTGATGCTTTCACATATTTTTGCTTGTTTGTGGTCCAGAGTCAGCGGTTTCATCGCTGATTGTCTAGCTCTGAGGTTGTGTTTAGCCTAGCTTAGCATAAGGAATTCACACAGAGGGAAACTGATAACAGAGCTTCATTAAAGATGGAAAAATAAACCTTCCAAAAATAGCTGTCTGATTTAGGTGCCAACAGTCTCGCAACGATTACGATAATAGCGTGCTACAAAAAATACCTTTTGTTTTGACAGTCAGACGACCCTGCTGCTGCATGAAGCAGTGTTGCCAGCTGGCAAAATAAAATCAAAAATCAATCTCTCCAAGAGAGAGATAAATCCAGGTGTTCCGGCAAATAGGTTTGAAAGTTTGAAAAAGTTTGAAAAGTGAAAAAGTTATGCAGCACAGTTGCATTTAGCAGGTGGGGAAAGTTAAGATTCACGGCGTGGGGAGTGGGGGTGGGGGGCACGGGTCACGGGAGAAAGTGTCAGCCCGACTCTGTGTTGTGCGAGCAGCAGCCTGGCTGTTCATACCAGAAGCTAATTTCCCTGTAAGTCAACAAATGATTCTGCTCCTCTGCTCCTTTTTAATCGTGTGTGTGTGTGTGTGTGTGTGTGTGTGTGTGTTTGCGTATGTGTGTGTGTGTCCCTGCTCATCTGTCTCACTCTCTGTTTTGACACTGATTGGTTTACTTATTATTGGAAGGTGCTGGAACACTGTTCTGGATCGTCCTGGTCCACTTTAACTCTTGGCTGTGGTGCTGATCCAGGGTCAGTTTTCATTATTGACATTATTGAGTTAATATGGGATTAATAAATTGGCTACATACCATTTGACTATTGTTATGGAAATCAAACTGAAATAATTTAAAATCATACAATTAAAGTTCTTGTACAAATATTATATTTACCTTACATCTGGCGACAGGTGGATGGTTTAGAAATAGCTCCAATCAAATTTCTATTATAACAGTTTTGGAGTAAGATGGAGACGGACCTAGGCTACCAGTTTCCTCCTGCTTCCATTCTTTATGCTAAGCTAGGATAAATGGTGTGTGTTGCTGCCACAGAGATGCAGTGATCCCTCCACCTGCTCTGGGTAAGAATACTGGACTGCTCTTTTAATACTGGGCCACATCAGCCTGTCGGGGGCCATGAGGCAGAAGCTAGCTGTGAATGAAGTCACCTCAGATCTCCATATGCGAGTTACTTTTTGTTTGTGACTTCACACAGATTTAATAAAGAACGTAGCTCATGTAAAATCAATATCAAGGAAATAAAATTTTCATTTTTCTCATCATTTCAGTTCATATTGTATGTTAATGGTGTAAAAATCCAGTTAATCAAATTGCCAACCTTGCCACATAATGAGGCTGGGTGGTCATACACACACTCAGTGTTTGTCTCCATTACTACGGCAGGGATGGACTGATGATCCATGGTGACTGTGCTGACAGCGCTGCTCCATCATTAACATGTGAGCATGCATTCACTGCAAATTAAAGCAGAACTTCATCTTTGATGAAGCTACCAAACACTGTGTGCATGTTAACACAATCAGTGACAACCTACCACACACACATTGTTCACCTCAGCCCCCACCTCCTCTCATGTACAGTTTAAAAGTACAAGAATAAGAAAAATACTCTCCATATTTTACACATATTATAAAATGTTCTCTTACATAAAAACGTCTCCCTGGTAACGAAAGTCTCTCCTTGTTTCATAATCTTACATTTACATTTTACATTAACAGACATTAAAATGAAAATGAAAAATGTGTGTGTGTGTGTGTGTGTGTGTGTGTGTGTGTGTGTGTGTGTGTGTGTCTTTGACAAAACATATTCAGACCAGGGGGAACTGGTTTACGTTTGCTGTCTGTTGAACTGAACAGGTTTTAATAACAGAGCAGGTCTGAAGTCAGATGTGTGGTTTGAGTGAAGAACTGGACAGAGTCAAAGTCATATGTGAGACATGAAGCAGAAGCTATTGGTTCTCATTATTGACCTGCCTGTTGTTTCTTTAAATGCATGTTTCAACTGTTGGTCATGTTAAATAAAATGAGCATTCATGTAACTGCTCTGGGTCCATTTTTAATGTAAACATTAATATTTTTAACAATGCAGCAGATCAGAGGATCAATTTACAGCTTTAGTTCTCTCAGGATGTTCATATCCACGAAAGACTGGTAACTGAAATATCTCATAGTGAACTGAGTCGAATGGGGAATCAGTGTTAATACACCGCTCTTCTCAGGGAGCTCTGACTCCAGGTCTGCAGCTCTGCTCACCACAAAACTCCATCTGCATTTTAACTGTGATTTGAAACAGAATATTGACACAACAGGAGGAAGTGACATCATGCTGAGTTGTACACACAGAGGAAGACAGTCTTTCGCTCTCTCTCACCCACACACACACACACACACACACACACACACATACACACACAGACTCACACACACTCACAGTGGGATCAGGTCAGACAGAAAATAATTAGTCTGCTACAACAGGAGTTCCAAACATTTCATTCGTTAGTTATTCAGTGTGATTCTATGGTTTAAGAAACACAAATGTTTTTATCTTAGCACACTTTTTTTCCCTCTAACAGCTGTTGAACCTGTGTCGGGAACATTTCACATCATTCAAAGACCTCTCTGTATAAACTGCAGGCAAGAAATGACTAACAGCTTCACTACCTCACCACCTAACAGCTAACGTTTATCAAGAGACCTGTACAGCTGTGTCCATCTCATTCACGCTGCCTTTTCACAACACCAGACCGACTGCAATCACTTGTTAGTTCATTAGTATGTTCTGACGGGTGAGAATGAGAAGTATTTACCATAACAGCTGTTCTTAACTAGTTAAGAAAAGACTCTTTCAGCCTATCAAAGGTTTCCTGTGGAGGTGTGGACCTCTAACAGCATGATGGAGCAGGAAGGACAGTGACCAGGAAGTCGTTAGTAGAGGTGAGCAAAGATGGATGAAAACAGAACAGGATTTTAAATACTTAAAATGAAATTTGACTTTTTAAATGTTTTATGAAGGAAAACCTTCAGTTCAAACAAAATGTTTGTCTGTTGACCAGAAAACTCCTCAGGACATCTTCATATAGTCAATAAAGTTTTCTTGACTCAAGGTCAGTGACCAGGATTAGACTGTAGAGCTCTGTACGATGCTTCTGTTAGTGTGTTATGATTTTTGATTTCTAAAATATCCTGTAGCAGACAGTGTAACAGTCTGACAGAGGAGGTGTCCGTCAAACAGCTGATCAGGTTCAGTAAACATCACAGACTGAGGCTGATTCAGGTCGACAGATGTAATGTGAAGCAGAACGTGACAGAGGAAACACAGAGAGCAGTGTGTGACAGACTGTAAGGTGATACCCCCAGAGCACACACACAGGTTTCTATGACCCAGATAAGAGTACAGGAATTTCCTTATTTTGACTTTGACTCCCCGATGGTTCAAAATATGTTTGTACCCCTAACTACACCATGTGTGGGTGTGTGTGCATGAGTTATTAGAGTTTAATTGATGCCTCTGATTCTTAAATTTAGTATGAAATCATAAAAACAATGACAGTTTTCCTGCATTTAACAAAACCTTCCATCTCCTCTCCAAACTTTTTTTCTGAACAATTGCTGCATAAATGATTTAAAATCATAATAATGACATGTGTGACTCAGGAAGTGAGCATCCATGTTTGCAGGGCCAGACAGTGAATGTTTAAGGTTATCTCCTCAGTATAACAGAGCTGACAACTCTTTTTATTCAATAATGTGTGTTATGAAACCAATTGTTTCATTTCTTTTATTTACACCTTTCCCTAATAAATATATATACTATCTTAAACCTTGAAGTTAACCCATGAGATGAATCATGTATCATATTGTACGACAAATGATTTTGTGAGAAAAAATCAAAATAATTACAAGAAATTAAAAAAAAAAGTTAAATATTGTAAATATAATTAAATCTGTTTTAACTGGTTTCGATCATGTCCTCTGCTCTGCTCTTACAAAAGTTCACGTTTGGGTGTTTTGTGATTTATAGTCAGGGCGGTAGGTTGGTGCAGCAGCGCAGATCAGATAAATACACTCTCAGCCAATCACAACACTGCCCATATAGCTCTGGAACAGCTTTGCTCTGAGTGTTCAATCAGAGAATACAAAACATAGCACACGTCCTGATGCCTTCAGGTGCTGCAGGAGAAAACATTTCCAGGTATTTAATTTGCTTCAGAAACAGATGTGGTTCTGAGATCTTTCCTCTCAGCAACAATCGTCCACCAAAAAACCAACGACTCTCTTCACACAGCCTCATTTGTGTGAATTGTGTGAACCTGTGTGCTCTGCTCTGGGCACAGGTCAGGATAATACCTAACTGTTGCCACGGAAACAGGGCCCTGATTAAATGATACTGTTCTGTCACTGTCTCTGATTGGTGAAGCTGTAGGTTTGTAAAGTAGAGATGATTTCCTCAACATGTGGACATCAAACTGAGTTATGGCTTTTACAGGAGCAGTTATAATTATCTTTTCTGTTAACCAGTTCTTTCATTATGGTATTAAATCATCTCCCTGGGGTGAATATAAAGTGTTTTGCTTATGGAACCAGACACATTACATCAGCCTCACGCTGCAGACATGTAGTGTTGTCAGTGTTGTTCTGGCTATAGATTGTGAAGACCATGATCCACTGAGAACCCCTGCTCCAGTGTCAGTGACCTGTCAGACTCAGTCCACCTTAAATATCAGTGACTCAACAGGAAGTAGCTGTTGTCTGTCTGACGGGAGCACAGCTACCTGTGGTTGTAGTTACAGCGCTCTGTTATTGTACCGTCCCCTCGTCCTCACTGCTACAGTGTAGATGTCAACGTTGTCATGGCTACAGTGTTATGATGTTGCCGTCCTCCCTCATACTCTCGTGACTGCTACTGGCTGTGTTTCCGTTGTGACTGGACATCGTCGTCGTAGAGCTGTCACTCAGGGACACTCCGACACTATTGGGCAATGAGATGCTCTGTGGGAGGGGCCTACCCCCAGTGGAGTTGTGCGGCTTGTTGCTAGGCGAGTCTGTGTTGAGGTTAGTGTTGTTACTGTTGGTGATCCGGTGGGAGTCGTAGGGCGTAAGACAGTCATTCTCCAGAATGAGGTCCCCGTCATCATCTTCATCGTCACTGTCACCCTCTGCAATGCTGTTACTATGGTAACAACAGACAACGTGGTTATAATGGTTAGAGATCAGTGTAATGCAGAAGTTAAACAGTTTGTTTTGGTGTTCCCTCTCTTTTAGCTCTGTGTTTGGTCTCCACCAGCTCCTCTTTAGCTGCTAAATGCTCCACTATGTTCACCAGCTGCTCTTTGACTGAGTCTGTCTGCTTTTTGCTGCTCAGCTGCTGGAAAAATTCAGATTTTGGTTAATACTTGTCCCCAGAACATGTGCACCTAATTTGGTGAAATTCTGTCAAACAGGTTTTGGGATACACATTTTTGGCATTTGTAGCACCTCTTATGGGTTTGGCTCAAAATGCTTTGGTAGATATATTCCATATCACAGCCTGAGGGTATCTATCAACTTTTATGATTATTAGACAAAGGGTTGATTGAGTTGGACTTGTGTGTCAAATTTCAGGTCAATCGGACTAATGATGCGAGGGGCGTGGCCTTCCCAAAATTTAATTCTAAATCCTTGATTACACCCCAGCCAACTGAGGTCATATTTCCTGGGAAGCCGGTGCACAGGAGAGAAGTTAGAACCCTAAAACATCAAACAAACAGAAAGATGTTGGAATCTTCTGTAGAGCTGCAGAGTTAAAACGCTTAAAGCTTTGTTTTAAAACCAGAGTGGACACGTGGAAAGACTATATGCCCTACAGTGTCATTTTCTAAAATCTATACCGTCATGTAATCTGCACCTCTTGTGTCTGTATTGATCATTCTGATCCAGGGTCAGACTGGTCGGAGAGATCCCTGGTATGGATTTTTGTGGAGCAGAATTGTCTCATCAGCATCACACAGCTTTAGCCCCGTCCATGTCCTACCTTGCAGTGATGGGGTTGCTCTGAGAGGCGGGGCTTGGTGAGTCATGTGACAGAGTGGAGCCTGTAGATCCAGCTGAACCCACTGAACCAGAGTTTGCCACTGAGGTTTTACTCCCACGATGCATCACGTTGTTCCTCTGGTTCGCTGGTTTCACAGTCACTATGAGGTTGTGACTGTTGGCCACCATCATGTCTGTGACCTGGAATGACAGGTGGACAGTTGATGATGATGATGATGATGATGATGATGATGATGATGATGATGATGATGATGATTGACAAAGTCAGTCAATAATAAAAAAAAAACTTTGAACACATATCTCACTTCCTACTCTTTTCTTCTCTTTTGTTAAGTTCACTGACACTCAGCTGTCCTGACGATCAAAATGTAACAGTCTGACTGTTGAATTTTCCTGTTTCATTTATTTCATAGGATCACAACTGATATGAGGCAAACAGCCCTGATCTGACTGTAACGTTCACTGTCTCACTGTTAAACATCACTGTGTGTCAGTCCTCCACAGGGCTGATGTCAGATTTACACATAAATCCAGTTTAACTACAGTTTGTAATTTACACACAAAATAAATATGATGTGACTATCGTCAATGTTTGATGTCTCTTCATTAGGATCATCCTTGACTAAGGATCAATGATGCAGGTCATCACAAGCTTCTCTGTCTGTCTCTGATTTGTTGAATTAAATGGAAGAACAAAACATTTTAAAATAACTAGACAATGCAATTTCTAAGTTTGCTGGCTGCTGAGAAAAGTCTGAAGCTGAGCTTCATTGTTTGAAATGCCAGCAACTGAGCTGCAACTAACTCTGTCTGCCTGTCTGTCTGCTTGACTGCTTTTGTGAAGTCAGTTAGAATGACAATTTGAAATTAACCGCTGAATGTTTCCTGACTAAAACTGGACTGAAACATATTTCCAGTGAAAACTGTTGAAATTTGTGTAAATCATTGTCTTGTATTGAGTATTGGAGCAGACTGTAGCTGGACTTTGACTATGTTCATAACTGTTGACATAAAGGTATATATTTTCTGAGATGAGACTCATAAATAAATATTTGTCTGTGGTGCCATAAATCCGATTTAAAAAATCCTGTTTCCATCTGATTTTCTGCTCTTACTTTTGAGTGAATGGGGCAGTTGGATGTACTCCTGCCACTTTGAAAGGCATAGTTCAAATTATGTGAGTCTTTGGGCAAATTTGTCTACGTTCTGGGAAAAAAATATGTGTTAAGAGTGAAATTTGTGGCCGTGGGGACGACGACAAGTTTTTTTTTTTTTTTTACCAGTTTAACCCCTTCTCCCACTCTAGGTGTGATGTCATCCACTCTAACCTCCTTCCATAGACACTAGTATAAACTCAAAATCTGTCAGACTTAAACTTAAACTTAAACTGTGATGAATCTAAAACTGTACAAGATATCAAAAAGCTGAAGTTCAGCTGAAAGTCTTGGGACCCATTTAAGGCTCAAATGAAGTCTCTAGCTAAAAGTAAAAGAATAGAATAGAAGTAAATCTGTTCACACAAATAATATTGAGACAAATCTACCTCCATATACATGCAATCATTTCTAAGACACGAATGAGGTTTTTTTGGTCTCGGCAGTGTCCACTGCAGCTAATCTGACCTCTATGTGTTCACATACTTATACTAGAATCAGAAATCTCTCTAATCCTGCCTAGCAGCTGTGGTGAAATAACTGAAATGACCAGGATCAACTTCCAGGTTAATAATATTATTATGTAACAGCTTATTCTCTTTAGGCTTCTCCCACAAAACAAAACAATGCTTTTAAAGAGTGTATACTGTCCATACTCTGATAGGGGGAAACAGGTTTTGGATGAATCCTGTGAACATGTTTCACATCATCTCCATGAAGGTGAACTCCTGGGTATTTACCTGATCCAGAGATTTTCCCGCGACATCGATTCCATTGACCTCGAGAATCTCGTCGTTAACTCCCAGCAGCCCCGTGCTCTCTGCCAGCCCGCCACGTACCAGACGAGATATGAACACCCCCGGAACCTGCGGGATGGAGGAGAGGCGCCAAACGTTACAGCTCTCTGCAGCAGGTTTTATTTCATATCAACAAACCCAGGAGACAAACAGCAGACAACGGGTCATTGTGACATTAGGGTCATGACTCATGACAGGGTTTAAAGACTTTTTTTTTTCATATGAATGTTTAATCCTCCACATTAAAGTGTCACACAATATTTCCAAAGATGAACAGAAGAGCAGATGACGCTCCTCCCTTTTCTCTGTGGTTTCTTCTTGAAGGGATCAGATTTTATTGGTCCAAATAGAACAGGACATTATGTTACATAGATCGATGGATCGACGGATCGATACTTTATTCATCCCCCAGGGGAAACTCAGGTTTGAATATATCTGATCATATTTATCATTAATTCTGTCAGCTTTAAAGGTGGAATAATAAATGATGACTAGATTGAATGAAATAACTGATCTCACCTTCTCTACACCCTGTTGTGTCACTCGCACGCTCACCCCGTCACGGATGTAGAAGCCCAGTGGCTTGTGGGTACCGTGCTTGTGCAGTCGTACGCGTCGGTGTGTCTCGGGTAAGATGTCCACGTCGATGATGGATGAGATCTGTCTGAAGTTCTGTGGCAGGCCAATCATCAGGCCCGGTTTGTTCTTTGAGTGGGTGGAGCCTGAGACGGTGGTGCGCAGTCCGGTTAAACCCAGCCCCTTTTTACGCCTCTGGAGGGAGTTGGTGGCAAAAACAACAGGTTCATCCTCTGAAAGACGACACACACAAGAACAGAGGGAAGAGTCCATTATTAAAACACGTCAGCATTTACAGTTATGGTGACACACACTGCTCTTAGTTCAGTGTACATGAAGTGATTTTACTCCTGTGCTAAAACCTTTATTTACACTATGCTGGGTAACAGAAGCTGTGTCCCAATTCAGAGGCCACATCCTTCGGAGGACACGATCTCCCTCTTATCACCTTTGGGGAAACTGGTAACATTATAAAAGTGTGCTGGTATGTCATCCTCCTGTTGTTCTGACGGGAACTTCTCATTGTTCAGCAGACGATCAGAGCGTTTAAACTGACTAAACTTAAAGTGACCTGACACACCACTGACCCGTGGACATGACACACCTCGACTATAACTGACCAGGAACACCATGTGGCATAAAACCATAGAGCTCATTAAGCTGTGGAAAGTTTTCCAACTCTAGACATGCAGTTGGACAAATTATAACCTGACTGACAGTCAAATCTGTGATGTAGAATCAGGGACTAGTTGCACAAAACACCCTTAAGTTTTCTCCTTAAGGTTTCCCTAAACTGTTCATTGAAGTATTTAAGCTTTTCTCTCTATCTTAGTCTTATACTTCAGGAATCACTTAAAGTCAGTTAAACTGTTGCACTGAAATCTTAAGAACATCTTTAAGAATCTTTAAGAACATCTTTAAGAAAAATCTTGGGATGCTTTGTGCAATTGGCCCCATATTTTACAGAAGTGATCAATCTGATGAGTAGTCAGTGGGAACCCACAGCAGATGTGGCCCCTGGCAGAGGTGTGGGAGAGCTGAAGAGAGGTAGAGGAGTACACACAGACTGATGAAGGCAGAGACTCACACATACTTCACATAGTTCAGCACACCAACACAGGTTTATCTATATAATCTAATCAAGTGGAACAGGACATCTGAATATTTTTCTTCTTTTCTGTTTGGAGGAACGTTCTTACAGTTCAGTCCAACAATATTATTCTGTGTGTCAGGTTTCATATCAGGACCCATCACTCTGACTGTATTATAAATATTTATAGTACAGTGTTCACATCATTTTTAATTTCACACTTCTTCCCTCTTTCCCATCTCTCTCTCTCTCTCTGCAGCTTCATCAACAATCAGCTGACAGCGGGACTTCATCAGAAAGATAGAGAGAAGAAGAAGGGATGTTTAATATGAGAATATCCCTGACTTCTTCTTCTACGACACAGTTCACTACTTCAGCTCCTGAAATCCACTTTACTGCCTATTTCCACAACTGTCTGTACAACTGCATTTATTACTACTACTGCAATTACTGCTAATGCTTCTTTTGTAAATGCTTCACTTGCACTGTACACTGCACTGTTTATGATGACAGTGGAAAACAAATGTAAATGTAGAAGAGATTACAGCAATATTAAGATATGATTTCTATATCACCCAGCCACAGTGTGAGTCCCACTGAGTCAGCCTTCACTAATTTGCCTGATTGATTAAGGATTAACATCTGGTAACCTCTGGATTAATCCACACTCTGTGGATTATGACTAGCAGGGAATATGAGTGATACTGTATTTAAGATCTGCTGCTCTGAACAGACGGGATGATAGGGGTCAGACTGAGAGGTTTAAAGGAATCATCCAATCCAGATGAGACTCAGATGTGATCTATTGATTCTGGCTGTTTGTAGTAAAACAATCTTTGACTCAGGTGGGGTTAAAAAGCAGATTTTTTACAGAGCAAACAGGATTAGCCAAGCCACACCCACAAACTGCAGGACTGAAGTGCACATGGACCTGACTATGAAACACAATTCAAAGAATGCCTGAGTCTGGTTTACTGTGTTCGGACTGGGCTTTTTGAATGACGTAAAACAAACTTTTCTCCCTTTGTGCCCGTCACATGACTGAGTGACAGCTCTAAAATCACACTCTTTCTGAAGCTCTGTCAGACATCTGATGTTTCTGTTCTGCCAGTGAACATCACCAAGCAGAGAGACTGTCCTCTGTAAACAATGACTCCATATTCACTGTGACCTCACATAGTTACTGTGAGTTACTGTGAGACCACTAGAGGTCGCCTGTGAGGCGACCTCTAGTGGTCGTAGTCATTATTTCACACAGGAGACTGTTGCTTTTATCCATGATCCTTTCACAACCTTAAGCACATCTTTAATATTGTAACCATGACGATAAAGGTCTGGTACGTCTGTACACTGCTGGTACTCTCCTACGGGTCGTATCCAAAGGTGGTTAAGGTTGGAGGACTTGTTGCAGCCGCATCCTTTCTGTTTTCAGCATGTCTGGTTTCTGTTTTCATCTGGCCTCCGTTATTAACCAGACTGTATTACGGTTTTGACGGAATATGTTTAGGTAGACTAATCTATGACAACAGAAGCTGTTCTGGAGGCAGGTGGAGGAACAACACCCACTTCATGTTTCTACATGCTTTGTTTGTGTAGTCGGTCCTTAGTTCTCATCCTTCTATAAGCAGCAGCACTAACCAGATCACAAACCAACCTGTGAAGATTTGACAATGTGATTTAACGAGAGCTGCTTGTCTTGCCTGAACATTATAACCAGGCCTGGAGACAGACGGCGTCCTGTGGTCCCGGGGACAATAGAAAATGTGTCCTGGATGAGCAGAGATCTTCTGTGGGATGCCTCCGGAATGAATGGGATTTTATATATAATTATTTATTTATTTAGCAAATGACAAACTGAACTGAGCACTGACAAGTGACTACAACAGAGCGTGTGCTCGTGCCGTTACTATTGTTACTCAGCGTGAGACCTGAAATGTTCCTGAGCAAAACTCGGCATAACAGCGGTTCCTCTACTCCCTCAGTCACAGCTCGCTGGCAGGACCTTGAAGCGTTCGTCAATCAACACGCAGAGTGAGACCACCTTCAATCCCAGTCTGAGGTCATTTAAGGACAAACTAGAATTACTGCCTCGTGGTTGTATGCCTGGCTGTGTGTGTCTGCCCTTCACACATCAGGAGAACTGGTCATTCTATCCACTTCACACTTGGTGGGTGTATTGCTGCAGTTGGTTCATAATTTGGTGCAATTTGGACACTTGGCATTTTTAGTATGAATAAAATTTAAATAAACTAACAACTAAAAACCACAGATGATAACAATAAAAAAAAACAAAACGTGTGTTTGGGACGTTTCAGGGACGGTGGTGAAAACTTTGTTCTGGAGCCCTGATAACTGTCATCAGGTCGGTTTATTTAAACTAATGCTGAACTCTGAGCTCAACCTGTCACTGTTTCACACATCAGAGACCAAGCATCAACCTCAGGGGCTGAAAACTGAAGCCAACACTGAAGAACCAAAACCTGCTAATGACCACTAGAGTCTGTCTCCAACAGTGAGTCAATCCCCATAGACTCCCATATTAAAATGTCCAACTTTACAGCAGAAATAAACATGTTTACAGCCTGGTACAAAAACTGTTTTGGTCTCTAGAGCTAATTTCCACACACGCCCCTCCCTGTTTGCCTATTTTTGGATTATCTGGGAGTTACGGGTGGAGTCAGACACTGCCAAGATGGCGACGGTGGAGCAGCTCACTCTGAGCTTCAAAACCGCTCTTCAGAAACCTGTGGGTGACGTCACAGAGGCTACATCCATCTTTATCTACAGTCTAGAGAGAGACTGTCCGGAGACAGAGGTTACCTTCTCCTCTCACATACAAACACCTGTCATCATATCATCACAGCGTCACAGGTAACTTGATGACTATGTAAACTCCGTGAAGGCCATGACATACAGGTGTAAGTTCCAGAAATAAATTCAGTGAGTGTACACTGAGTTAAGACTGGTTAGTTAAACTATTACAAACAATTTTTTTGAAAGTCAAAATAAAATTATACTTTAATGTGAAAGCTCCAGTGGAGGAGATGAGAAGAGGCACCATCAGAGTCAAAGTCATCCATCTCTAACATCAACACCAGCATAGATCGATGTCTGTCTGTTGTTTTCCTGTGTTGCTGTGGATCCTGAGCCAAACATTTTCAGACCTCTCACCTACATTGTCAGCCTGTGCAAACTATTTGAATAAAGTAGTGCCAGCTGATGGAAAACACCTGCTGTGATGTCACTGATAGGGCGGGACCTGTCTGCTGCCTCCTGTGAGTCAGTGTTGGTGAAACAGAGAGTGCTCTGTGTTGCTGAGGCTGGACAGAGAGCAAACAATAAAAACAAAGCATGTATTCATGCGTATACTGCACACATATGAACATAAAAACATAAAATTTGCAAATGACCAGCATGTGTCATCTAACTACTAAAACATTGTTTTCTTTAAACAGAAAAACTTCTATATCAAACCTTTACTTATGGATACATCTACTGTTTCACATGCAGTCTCCAGGGTGCTCTGCACTCAACTAAAAACTAGAATCACTGTCTCATGGTTGTTCCCTCTATCAACCAGACAAGTTACAGGAAATATGGTCACAATGGTTCTGTCCGAAAACACTCACTCATTCCCTCCTCCCTCCTCACTATCCAGGGAGTTCTATGTAGAGGACTATACAGTGAGCTCATCTGTAAATGGAAAAACACTTTCAGACACTCTTTCAGATGCATTGTGGGATACTATGAGTCCACTATATGGAGTATAATAATTCTCAATATACATTCGGAGAGTACTTCAAAATGGACTATATAGGGGGTAGTGAGTGAGTTCGGACACAGCCAATCTGTCCTTCCTGAGTTACAGCACTGAATAATGACCAGAAGTGTTTTTACAGAACATTATGATATCACAGTCAAGTTGACCTTTGACCTTTTGGATGTAAAATGCTGTCACTTCATTTTATCCTTGCAGAAATTTGAGTTACATGGTGTCATTAGTGTTTAAATTCTGGAGTTATGGCCAAAAACTTGTTTTGAGAGGTAACAGTGACCTTTGGCCCCCAAAATCTAGTCAGTTCAACCTTGAATTCAAGTGAACGTTTAAACCAAATTTGAAGAAATTCTATCAAGTCATGACTG